CCGCTGCAGTCGGGTCCTTTGCCGGAGTTGTTACTGATCTCAAAGTTTACAGGCCCTTCAAGACTAGTTACTGATTTATTTCAAATTCGAATTCAAGACGTTTGATTTTATAGTGTCTCTGTTACTGCTTGAATTATCCCTTAAAATTTTATTTAACTACTTCTTATTTTATAAAATCAAGTAATTCTTATTCTACCTAACCTTTGTCATCTTTCTCTAACATTACGAAACAAATCAGAATCAGTCCAAAGGTATCCATAGAGAGTTTTACTTCAATCTCTGGGGAAATAACACAAACCAAGCCTATGGTTTGCCATTATTGCACTTTGCCACCCACAAGGACCTAATAAAATAAAAATTTACTCCTGTTAAATGGTAACAAAACTACAAGATTTTATATAATACTAGATCAAAATATAAAAAAATAAAAAAGAAGAAGGAATAATCACTTATTTTCTTTCTACAAAACTACTTAAACGAATTAGTTATGTTTAATACTTACTCGACCCATTTACTATTCATATTAGCAGGTCATATTATTTGTAGAAACTAATCAACCCTTAGCACACTTGTTTATCTCAAGTTCTTATCGTTAACCTGTTATGTTAAAAATTGTCATTCTTATTTTGTCCTTAGTTGAGATGAAAAACAATAAGCTATGAACATAAAAAAAATCAAACATTATGAAGAAAGACTTCTCTAGACTCCTCTTCCAACCTGTCGGCAGGAGCAGGGGCATAAATTTTCTTCTGGGTTTGCACTTTAATTACGAGTTTAATCTTTCTTTTCAATCAATTACATTAAAATAGTATAGTTACATTAAATATATCATATTTGATACACAAAAAATTCAGCACAAAAAAAGGGGCCAAAAAATAATATATGTGTATACAAACAAAAATAGAGACTAATCATAACTCTTCTATAAAAAAAATGATGTTAATTAATTGAACCCAATAATTTACTTAGTTCTAAAAAGAGACAGTCTCTCTCCTATTTATTTATTTTTATTTTCTAGCAACTTTACTTTAATCTGTAATTCATTACTTTGGTGATCTTTACCATTTTTCCTTTAATGTTCAGTACAGTAATCTTTTCATCTTTCAAATTAAGTTTCTCTGTTACTTTACATTCAAGTTATTTTCCTACATTCTAATTCATTACGTTACGAGTTGAGAATTGTTTAAGTACGTGATTCTCAAGGCATAGAAAAGAGGATAGAGATAACATTATGCCTTGTTACAATTGCCTGAACATTCATGATTCTAGAACCTCACACATTCATGATTCTAGAACCTCACACAGGTTAGAATAGATAAGGTCGTATTTGTTTGGATCTTAAGTTATGAAATATTATTTCTATACCCAAACATTCTTTATTCTCTTTTTGAATAATACTAATCTTATACCCATACAAGTCTCAAGTCCAATTTAATCAAATTAATTATAATAATGACCATCAAATTTTTGAAATTAACATTGAATCTTGTCAAATTAACATACAATTTCATAAAATTAACATTACACTCACCCAATTGTTATTCAATTTTATCTAATTAATACCAAATTCTATTCAATTTTATCAAATTAACACAAAATTGACCTTAAATTTTATCAAATAAATATTCAATTATGAATTTAAACTGAATATGAATTTGATAAAATTAAATATTAATTTGTAGTTAAATTGATGAAATTAGTGATAGTGTGATGAAATTAATATTTAAATTAATGAAAGTAAATGTTAATTTATAAAATCAACTGATAAAATTGATAAATTTGATGAAACTGATGAAGTTGAAAATTGATTTTACTAAAATTTAATGTTCTATTAAGAGTAAATGAGAAAAAGAGTTTTTTGTTAAGGGTAATTATGTAAAAGTTTAATTTCCATCTATTCCGTTAAAGATAAATTCTGACAGCAGGTGACAATGATATTTCAGAAACTATAGGGAGCGTCTCTAATCTTTATAATTAGGCTATTTTCTGGGGAGTGTTACTGAAATTTATCCATTATTTAACTACATACCGGTCACACGCAAGAGGCTCTTGGCAGCAAGTGCTCATACTTGGCCATCAATGACAGAAACAATTGTATTAAGGGTGGGTTAATCCATCCGGACCAGGCGTGTCAACGGATCGGATATAAATTAATTTGACATATATTTGAATTTAAATTTGATTAAATTTTTTATTGATCTGATTCGATCCAATTATTTGACAGACATAAAAGATTCAATTTATGTCCGAATTCGTTAATTTTCAGATACCCGATCCCAAATCTGACCCGACCTCTCAGACCCTTAATACACTAAAGTGTTAATATTTAAATCTTATAACTTTCAAACTTTGAATTCTTCCAGGAAACTTCCTCTTATTTTTATCTTTACAAGAGAGACCCTTTTCAAATTAAGAAAATGCTACATTATCCAAATTAAACTCAAAAATTAAAATTTAAATGCATATCATCCTTTGAATGAGTGTAGGATAAGTGGGTTCCACTTAAAAAATTGATGAGAGTCACTCATCTTAAAGAAAATTAAATTTGTGAACCTTTTTTTTTTCCTTAATCAACTGTGCATACGAGAGGGGACTGAACATTCAATCCAATTTTATAAATTTTTAGGATATGTATGAAATTTTGAGAAATTAAAAAATTTTAGAATTAAACCCCATTGAAAAGTTTGTAAAAAATATATATATATTGGAATAAATTTATTTTAAAAAATAAGTAGGCTACTTTTTTAGATGAAATAATCGGATTTAAACTTTCTTCACATGACTTAATCTCCCAATTCTCGTCCAATTTGAAATTGAACACTACGCCACCCAGAGGCAAAGGCATCCAATAAAATAAAAATGGGTTAATTGCAGCGATTGTCTCTAAAGTTTGCAATTTGTCTGATTTTGGTCTTTAATGTTCCAATTGTATCACATTGATCCCTGATGTATTGAATTTGTTTTTAAATGGTCCCACGTATAACGCCGTCCAAATTTTTAATGGCTTTTGTTCACATGCTTCCCACATATAAAGGATATTTTAGACAAATTGATGTCTATTTGACCCAAAAATTGTAGCAGTAGTCCTCAAAGTATATTCTTAGTCTCATTTTAGTCCCCCAACCTTATAATACATTAAGGACTATTGTGATACTATTGTAATGTTGGGGGACTAAAATGAGACGAAGAGTATACTTTGGAGACCACTGTCGTAATTTTTTGGTTAAATAGAGTGATTTGTCTAAAATACCCTTCATTTGAAAGCATGTTTGAAGCACATGAACAAAAGCTGTTAAAAATTCAAACGGCATTATGCATAGAGATCAAACAGAATTATACGTAGAGATTATTTAAAAATAAATTCAATACATCAAGAATCAACGTAATAGAATTGTAACATCAAGGACCAAAATCAAACGAAGTGCAAACTTTGAGGAAAATGCTAGCTATTAAAAATACATTATGTTTAATACATGGAAATTCATTACAAAAAAGAGGCTAATTGTAGCCCTTTTATAAAAATTGAAGTTAATTACAACTTATACAATTGACCCCGATGCATTTCTTTAGTTTCACACAATTTATCACGGACCTAATAGGATAAAATTAAACCATAGAAAGAGCGAAAATAGAAGTAAAAAGAAAAGAAAAAAATCACGATGAGTGTCGATAATAAAAAATTTGTCTTATCTAATTCCAAAATATTATCTTCAAAAAGTTTGAAAAGAATACATAAGAGGCAGGGATGTGACTATGACTCCACCATGGTCAGATCATTAATAACCAAAGAAAAAATTACTTAAATACAATCGCAATGGGCTACAGATTGCCAATATGTGTCCCTTGATTATCGATCAAAAAGAAACAAACTAACAAATATTCAAAGAAATCAACAGTCTTTTACAATGGAATTGCATAGTAATTACAAGAAAGCATGCCAAGAAGAATGACAATGGCGTTCCAAATTCCAAAGGAATAATAACCTTGTGCAAGTCCTTACCGTATAAATCAATGTGGATGTGTGTGTTCCAATTTTCATTTAGTTGGGGCTTCACACGAAATTGTCGGCTTATAAAAATACAACAATAGCCTAAAATTAAGATTAATCTAATTTCTATTTATTTTGATCCGACGGTACAAAATTTATCCCAAAAAATTATTTATTTTTTTTTGCTCAAAATTATCATCGTCTTTACATGATATCTAATATTAGATAATTCAACTAACACACTCTGCAATTCTAGAAAACTCTACTAATCCACACCTACATCTCTCTTCTCTCTCTCTCTCCTCTCTTCTCACTTCCCTACCTCTTTATTATTTTCTCTTTGTTTGCTTTAATGATAAATTATTTAGTTAACGAAAAAAAATTAGAGTTGATCACAAATTGCACCCCTCTTGAATCTCAATTTAAACCCTTAAGTATTAATGTGCACATAAGACTAACAACCGTCTACTTTGCCGTCTAAAATTAAATGGATAAATTATACCTAAGCCCTCTCATATATTTGTCACTTAATCACCTGAACCCCTCACATTTGAAATATTACACCTACACCTCATATCATATTATGATCTTTTTAAGTGTTTCACATCAATAGCATTTAAAATAGGTATGAATATACTCTACTGTCTTTCCCTTGTAAGCCGGTTTTTAAAGACAAATCCTCCTTATGAATTCCTATCACCTTATAAGTTTTTTAAAGTCTTTAAATAGGAACATTAGCTTCTCGTTTAGTAACAAAGTTGCCCAATAAAGTTTGCTAACACGTCACCATCCTTTTCCACTTATGCTCTCGTACTGCTGCAAACTAAGCATAATGTTCGGGAGATTTTGAACAGACTTCTCTAATGAGAAAACTCAATGACACATTAAAGAAAGCATCTACAAACCCACCTTTATAAATGTTAAATTGTTTAACTTACTACAATATTGATGAAAGTTTGTTTAACTTACTACAAAATTGATGAAAGTTTACTCTAAAATGCAAAGAACATAGCACAGTTGCAACAAAATCTGTCATCTTGTCAGCAATAAACAAGTGAGTTTGCATCAGAACACACTGTGGAAAGAAGTAATCAAGTAATGTAAATGGTGGAATCATCCACCACAAGTGAAACAAATCTTCCGTCTTGGTTACAAACATTTGCAAGAATTCCAACTTTTTATACCCCCTCAATAATATACAAGATTTTCATCCAACAAGAGATCATCACATCTATATGAAGCAGCATGACACTGACCTCTTGCACATAAAGTATTGCAGATTAGTGGATCAATAAAACAATTTTCTCACTCCGTCGTACCCGGGAAGTCCAGACCGTTTAGCAATACAAATCTACTTCATACAACATGGACCATAGTCTCATCTCAAGCTACTGATTGTCTTTTCCCTTTCTTTGATTTGCTCTTCTCCTGCAGTTTTCTTTTCTTTGCCTCAGCTGTAATCCATGTGTAATCTGGAGGAATTGCAAATGGGTCTTGAATGTTTTCTATCCGACTGCTTGCACTAACAGTGGAAGAACTCGGGAGGCGATAGGGGGTTTTCATCCACTGAAACCAAGATGAGCTAGTGGACTGCATCACTGCTGGGCTCACCCTGCCTGAAGCAGTAGGACTTGAAGGGGGTGTTGAGAACTCATCCAACGGCTCTAATTCCTCAAATTTTGTAAAAGTAACCAAAACTCTGATAGTGGGAACCACTGGGATAGCAACCTGAAAACACAAAACATCTTAGCAAAGGACAAAAAGATACAAAAAAGCTATATAAAACATTAAAGTGCACAAATGAATCCACTTCCTTAATAAACAACCGTTCTGAGAAGGAATTTGCTTTGAGATTTTAAATCATGTAGCATTTTCCTGCAAGTTCAAAGAATCTGGCTGAGTGCGATATGACTCGGCAGTTCGGTTCTGACTTCCCATACCATTGCATGTGCCATATGTCTCACTCGATGGCCCAATTGTTCGAGTCATTGTGTTCAACTCTCTGCATCTCATCCAATATTGTTCCACGATGATATAACTTGCATATCATACCATGTACAACTGCTATCTATCATTTCGCATAAGCCGCTTCATACCCTTTAGCAATACCACGTTCAATGTGTCAAAGTATCCTCTAAGTCGATAGTTGTTGCGACATTGAACTATGCCTTGAACCATGCATGCAACATAATGCGTGACGCAAAAAAATATTGCCTGGCAAAGCAGACTTTTAGGGCTCCTTGTACCATTTTCCATGCTGGAAATACTTCTCCCAGGTCAACTTATGCATAAGGTTAGTAGATGTGAAAGTTTAACAATGAACAAAACAAAGAATGTGGATCAAAACATGCAATAGCTTTATCAGAGAACCGCTTTTTCCTTTTTGTATTTGTATGTGGTTGGGGAGGGGGATAGAGCTCAACAAAGATAAACTAGAGGTTTTCATTGCTTGGACGTTTTAAGTCACCAAATTCCCTTTTTTCTGATAAGAAACAAAAGTCACCAATTTCCCTTGATATCATTATTTATTTCTATTTGTCAAGGAACTTCGAAGAAATGTTCCAGCTTCAATTTGGACATAATATATGGAACTACATACGAATAGAACAAAAATTATTAAAGATATGGTAACTCAGATGGATGTGCCTCTCATCCTTTTGTTTTTTCACTTGGAGTACAGTATTATACATCCGGCCAACAATTTTGGCCAAACTAAACTAACACTGTCATGGCATAGCCTCTCACACTAGAACTGCCTAGGATTTCTCATTCTAACAGAATTAATCTAGAATAGAACCACTCTTACTACTCAACCATTCATTACAGTGTTATTTGACCATAGCTACCATTTTCGTCAAGTCTTAACACATTGAACCATATATGTTGCAAGCATGAGTTTGACAGCAGAAAAGACACATTCTATCCTCCTGCTTAAAAGGCTGTGTTCCATCATGGATCACAGCCCACTGTCATCAAGATCAACACACCTGCAGTAGCTACCATTATATCCACTCATCGGATGGTGCTCTCTCATGAAACAGGTTTCTTCTGCCATCTCAAGCCCTATATGCCTGTGGCAACTACATATTACAATAACGGCATAATTCAGATTGAATGTGTATTCCAAGTAAAACTGTGGTCAAACAAGCATAGCCTCAGGCCAACTTTGAACTTAGAATCCATAAATCCAACTAAACTTGCACGGCCAGATCATCCTACTTTCGATTCTTTTCTCATGTGCACGTAGTTGAACAGACGCTCTTCTTCTAGATTGAAAATAGAGATCTTCCCCCAGGCGCTAATTCTATGATTGAAAAGCTGATGAATGTGTTAATCCAAAAGAAGGTAAAGCCGACGCAAGGAAGACGAAAGGCATCCTGAAACCAATGAAACTAGGTTAGCTGCTTGATTGTTGATTCGTCAAAGATGAGCACCCTATTTCGTAATAATAGGTGTTACACCATAAGGGCTTGCTCTGTGACCAGTCAGAACATCTCCTTGTCACCAACCTCTTTTCTAAGAAGAGTTTGTTATAAAAAGGCTTGCTCGATCCTGATAGGAACAAACTAAAGTCTCGAACTAATGCTCCACTGGCAGGAGTCCGAGCATCAACACCTAAAAGTTCCAATGCGTAAGTCAGGGCAAAGGTTTTTTTTTGGAAATCCAGAATCCACTCAAAAGGGCAATTCTTCCTTCATGATATATGGTTGGCAGCACAAGGAGGGTACTGCTGAGCTCAATGAAAACGAACAGACTAAAAATGCAATAAACCAAAAGATGACAAAGGAGTCCCCCCAAACAAGGTGTCCAAGCTCGTGGTTCTCTGGATCATAGGTGTATAACTAACATTGGGAACAACTACAAGTCATAGTTGTAAATGACAAAAAGGTCACAGTGTAATTGACGCAGGGCATAATTGATGTTCCACAACGAAAATAGCAATCAAAGGTATGAATTATTTCCCCGGATTCATATTTCCCACATAAACATTTTAAAATAGACATCTACCAAATCCAAAATCATGCACTGATGGGTCTCTATGATTTGCAGTGAATGTATACTGCTATCATATACCTGATTTTGACAGATTATATGCAACGTATTTACTAAGTCACAATATAGGAAAACTGTCACTAACTCTCATTTTCCACATTTTTGTATAAACATAAATCCAAGAGAGGATGCATAATTATCAAAGTAACATAGAATATTGTGCAAAGCATGTTCCTACAACAACTTTCAACATAATGCATCTTAACTATACATTGCATGAAAGTGTTAAAAGAAAGGGAACAGATTAAAGTAGCTATTTATATAATTTTACCACCGAAAGAAGAGTATGGTGGGGGATCCTCAAAGTCTCTTTCAAGTTTTTGTAGCTGAATCTACCTCATATATGGAAAATTCAAATGTTGGCTGAGTGAAACTGGGAGTTAGGTCATCCTTTGGGCTTACAAACTAGTAATTTCTGCCGAAACGAAATGGCAAAAAATAAAAAATATAACCTCCTATACAGTGAGAATTCATGGTAGTTGTGACACCATAGCATCCGTTATGGGAGAGTTACAAGTTGTTACATGGTTCAAGGTCGCGGTATCAGCCATCAACTCGAAGAGCTTTGAAACACATCGGTCGCAGTGTCACGGTGCAGTATCAGGCGATATGACCTAAAAGAAAATATTAAACATGACAAGAAATTAAGGTCATATTGCGGCGTCGTGGAATCGTATCAGCTAATTCGGTGACGACATTTCAACGACTCGGGATTGACTCAGATACAACTTGGCCGAATTGTGAGACGCGCAAGATTTATATGTATCATGTAACGGTATCGCCTCCGAGGTGTTGAGATGGATATAACTTAGCCAACTCATATCGGTATCGTCCGATACTTTGAACCATGAGCTATTATGCAGTTGCCAGAGTACCTTACTGCTGTCACGATTGTTAAACATTTTAGACCTATTAACATGGCATAAAACTAGATAGAACCTCTCCAAGTATGTTGCAGAATGACATATTCTACAAGGTAACATTTTGTCTCGTTTCTCAGCCATCCACATGGACCCATATCTCTATGCCATGGCTGGACATGCCGGCTGCCGCTAATCCACTTGATTTTACAGTGCCCTCAAATTTAATAAAATATGTAAAGATTTGGAAATAACTAAAAAGTGACAATAACAACTCCTGGTAATAACAACTCCTGGTCCTCTAAAAGCCAATTTCAAGGGGATTTGTGTCTGACACTACAAATCCCTTTGATCAACCTTCTACATCTCGTAAGCCCTCTATTTCTAGCGTGAAGTCTCTTCTCCTTAGTCTGGATGGACTGATAGTTTTCCAACAAATTTGAACTATGGGAAAGTTGTGGAATTTTCTTCATTACTATCTCTACTTTAGTTTATAGCATATCATGTGTCTTCTTCTGATAGGTGATGTTGGACTCTTCATTCTTCTCTTGTAAATCCTTCTTTCAGTTGTTGAATGGTGATTCCTCTTCTCCTATTTTTGAACCCACATTATCAATTTCACATGCTAAAGTACAATTGAAGGTTCAGATTTCTGCGTAGACTGTTGACCATGGAAAGACCAATACTTCTGAATTGATTCAAAGAAGGCACCCTTGTGTTGGTCTCCCTCCGAATTGATGCATTACATTTAGAAAGAACAATGGAAGAATTGACCACCTTTTTCTCCATTGTCCTATTAATTTAAGGTAATTGGTGGTTGACCAAAAAGGCTTCGATTCCTAAAGAGATTCGATTATGGCTATGTTTTCGTGGAAAAGAATAGCAGGATTTTTGGACTAATCGAGTCCAACAATTGCCTTTAGGATAGACTAAAGTTCTTAAGCTTCTCTGTGAGACTTGACAAGTGCCTTTAGGATAGACTAAAGTTTTAAAGCTTCTCTGTAGGACTTGATTACAAAAAACTTCTGGGATACACCTTTATTTTTATCAAGAAAAGCTAGAGTGTGATTGTGTTTGGGGATGATTAATGATATGTGGTTTAGATTATGTTCCTTTTTAAGCTTATATTTATACATACACAAATACATATATATGTATTTGATTGGATTCCTAGACCACCACTTATGGAACTTCTGATTGACAACAATTTTGTATTTCTATCACAAAAACCAAGAAAATTTCGCAATGCCATCAATTTACTTATAACCAAACAACTGTACATTAAACAGCTTACAGATTCGGTGATGCAGGGCATGGAAACAAAGAGATAAGACAAAGGCAATGGCAATGCAAATGAACAGATAAAGGAAGCTCAGTAGCAGGATTCTATGGAAGAATCAACACCACCAATGCTGAACTCTGAGCAATTTATGAGGCTTAGAGCTGGCCAACCCCAGAGAACTCACAAGATTTCTATTGGAAACTGACTCTCTCGAAGCCCATAATCTAATCCTCAGCAATGTGGAAGAGACTCTGCATTCAAAGCATTGATTGCAAACTGCAAACAATTATAGCGCGATCAGGAGCACAAATCATGCACACCCTTGGAGCAGGCAACCAACACGCTGATTGCCTGGCCAACTTGAGAGAGCAGTCAACTGAAGTACATGTCCAACTAGCTCTCCCACCAATGGAACTTGGACCCTGGCTAGATGAAGAGTCTGAACGATTCCCCACACCAAAAAAAAGGAGAAAGATAAGGCAAAGTCAAAATTTCACAAGGACTCTTTCAAGCTTCACTAGTCAAGTTTTGGTTAAACTTAACAATTTTGATTTAGCTTAATGGATAAGGCTTGAGTCTCATTAGACGAGTGTTTTTGTACTCGTCATTTTCACCAAGACATGTCGCTGAGCTCGAATTTGAGCTCATAGTACAAAAACAAGCAATCCCGAAATGATCCAGATCATATGATCTAAAAGCCAAGCCGATCTTGACAAGAATCTAAGCTTGGCAACAAATCTTAAGTTGAGCTTCAACAAGTGACAATCAACTTGAGCCAAGTTTAAGCATTGCAAAAGACTTGATTAATACCCCACTTAAATTCATAGTGTGGATCATGCAATTACTCACATTGAATATCACTTGATGATATGCAAGAGATAGAGGTACAAAAATTATCTTTGAATGAGATAGCAAAAAATGATATGATAACTTGAGCTTTAGAAAAAAATATGATCCACACAATGAAGGAATATTGCTCATATAGTTGACATAGGGTTTTGTTGAGTTAAGTTAGGTTAAGTTAAAAAATTGTTAAAATGAATTTCTCTATATAGTTAAGTTTTAGAGTTGTGAGCATATGGGTTTTCCAGGATCAAGTAATTTATTTGGCTAATACTGGATAACTTTTAGTGGGTATCAGAAAGTCAATTTTTTGTCTTTGTTGGGCTCCAAATTGCCTTGGCCACCAAGTTGTTCTCAGTCCTAGAGTCTTATCCCTATTTGTCTGCCATGTAATAGCTATATTACATAAACAAAGAGGTGCATGAAAATTTTGTGTATGTGGATTTTCTTATGTCTTCCCAAGATTTACAACCTTACTTCATGGGGTTAAACTTTTGGCCTTTTAGGTGGAAGACCTAGAGTCGCCTAAAGCTTAACTTGGGCTGTTAATCCAACGAAATTCCAAGTGAGACTACCAAAATCTTTTCTTCTCCTTCTTTCCTAGTGCTCTTCCTTTCCTTCTGTAAATTACTATTCTCAAGTTACCATTCACAGCACCCAAAATGGTCCACCGTCAGGCCCAACATTATTAGTCCATTATCCCACCCATAATTGTGCTCAAAACCCTTCAAAATATTTGCCATCCAGAATTTCCGGGAGCTAATTTTCTGCAATTTCAGCCAACAGAAACTTCTAAACCTATACCCACCACAGCATACTTGTGCCGCATCCTTTAGTTACTCAAGTAGTTAAATGCAAGGGAATTTGGTGGTTGAAAACAAGCACCAAAAGCTTGGACTAAGAGTTAGCAAGTGGTGCCAAGAAATAAATGAGCACAAAACAAGGCTGATCACCCTGGTTTCAACTGTCACTCGGATCAGCCCGATAACGGAAGGTAAATATGCCAAAGTTAAGATTTTACATGTAAATGAGGCTGCTGAGCACAGAAGCTTGAGAACCTGACTTTTCAATTTTTGTAAAACAAATATTTGACCAGTGAAATGCAATTCTTGTTCAGAATCATAGTTCCGCATGTGTTATACACAAGGTAAAAAAGATGTATCAAAAAGAAAAATTCTTTCTTTCCCAAAAACGGACATTAGAAGTGAAATTGACATAAAAGCCCAAGGTGTATATAGTTGCTAAACTAATTGAAAACACCACTATGAAAATAAGCATAGAATACTAATTGTTACACCAGAATGTGGGCTTGGCACAGCAGTAAGATTGTTTCACTGTGATCTAGGCTTCATGGGTTTGATAAAACTGTATATTTCAAACCCAAGATTAGTAGGAGCCCCGTGCATTGGGCTGGCTTTTTAGTTCTAATTGTTACGCCGGCTGTCCAGAACTGAAACATTGACATATCAACAAATATATTTGCATCTAGACATATTTCATTCAAGAAAAACCTCTAACTATCGCAAAAGGAACTGTTTCATGCAACACTGAGTGCACTATACCTTTATCCACAGTGCATATAATTGGGGTTTTTGAAATAAATCACAAATAAGTGATTCCTTAGAAACTAAATGAGAAATCCATTTTATTTGAAACTTGATAGGTTTTCATATTTATCTTGGGCTGCTGAAGAATGACAAAGCTGACCTAACATTAGAGAGAATCTAAAAAGCAAGAACTGTAGGCAGAAAAGCCAAAAAAAAGACGGGGAGAGAGACGGAGACAGAGAAAATGCGGAGAAGAAAAGGAAGAAGGAAAGAAAGCAGAAAAATCTATATCTATCTATCTATCTATCTATATTTACTTATAAAAGTATGCTGATTTGGAAAACAAAAGTTTTCATACACTAATATCAATTTCATCCTTCATTAAATAGTTACTGTAACTTATTTGCATTGAATACATGAGTTAGTATTTCATATCTTTCATATTCCGTTCACAGCTGCTCAGAGACGATGGAAAACTCGCGACTCGCCTGATGTTACAAATTCTATAACTAAATGTTCATAATACAATTGATGTTTTGTATGTTAAACCAGACTATTTCTTTGTGAGTGTTTGCAAATCCTACATCAAAATAGATAATTCATCCAAAAGCACTAAAAGTATCACGCCAAAACACATAACATCCAAACCTCTCACAATTTTGGGAATATTAAATGTCCCTTCATTAGATACTTAATCATATCTATATAATTAGACACTGTATATAATGGTTAAGAAATGAATTAACACGAGTAAGCAATAATAGATAATAGATGAAGACGACGTGCAGCAAATGCAGCTAAAGTTGAATGGGGGAAGCAAAAATAAAATCACCAGTGGAAGAATCTTGATAAGGTAGATAGAGGAATTTCTATAAGACTTGATGATGATAATCTAACTTCAAAACTTTTAAAATTTGATTTTTTTGTGTACTATTTGAAATTATTTTCTTGATTGGCAGCTTTTGTTTCAGTATCACAACTACCAATTCACCTATTTTTCT